CTAGCCAACAAAGTATGCCATTAGCTAGCCCCACTAGCCAAGGTGGTGCCCTACCAGCCAGTGGAGCGCTCCACTGACCAAGGTAGTGGTCCACTAGCAACCAAAGGGCCCCACCAGTCAATGAGGCATGCCACCAGCCAAGGTAGTGCCCTACCAGCCAACAGAGAGCCCCACTAGTTATCATAGAGGCCCACTAGCCATTGAAGCATACCACTAGCCAACAAAGCACTCTACTAGCCAAAGTAGCTCACCACTACCAAACAGCACTCCAGCCAACAGAGTGCCTCCCTAGCCAACTTAGAGCTCCATTAGCCACCACAGCACGCTGCTAGCCACCACAGCATACCACTAGCCAGTGACCTCCTTTACCTCCAGCCAGCATAGTGCCCCTCTAGCCAATGTAGCAATGTAGCCAATGTAGCCAGCAAAGGACCCCACTGGCCAACTCAGGCCATAAATGGTCTCATTAGCCCACACAGCTTCTCCAGCGAATCTCTGCCCACAGCCATCAGACATCAAGTCACTAGTCCATAGACATGTTCACTAGCCATCTCACTAGCCACAACAGCACGTCACTAACCAACATACGGGTTGGACAGATCCCCCTTGGGTGGGTGCTAAGGGCTCCTGGCAGGATGGGTGGGTTGGTGCTGGCAGCTCTGTGACCACCCATGACTGGTTGCCCTCCAGTGCCTGTCTCCAAGCCCTTTGTGCACCCTACGGTGGCGGCGGCGGCAGAGGGGACAGTGGTGGCCCTGACCTGCGCTGTGAGGGAGGGGACAGAGCCACTCAGCTTCTCCTGGCACCACCAGGAGCCCCGGGGTGGCCCCTCAGCCTACCCTCCTGGGCTGGAGGGCTTCGGGCCCCAGCTGCACCTGACACCAGCCAACCGTAGCCACGCCGGCTGGTACACCTGCACCGTGGGCAACCAGGTCAACAACCAGACCAGCGAGCCTGTCTATCTGGACATTGTCTGTGAGTGGTCCAGGTGCTCAGCCCCACCTTCCTGAGAGGGAGGATCTGCAGGGTTGGAGGATCTACACCATACTGCCATAGTATGGACATGGCTACCCTGTTCCATGCCACCAAGGTGTGTCTTTGGCCACCATACACCATGTCACATCCATAGCCATGGCACTGTGGTACTTTCACGACCTCCATCACAGTGCCTCCACAGCTACCAAGCACCATCCCACCACAGTGCCTCCATAGCCACTATAATGCCTCTGTGGCCACCATGCACCACAGTACATCTGTGGCCACCATGGTGCTTCCATGGCCACTAGAGTGCCTTGATGGCTACTAAGCACCATGGCATCACTGTGCCTCCATGGCCACCAAGCCCCACAGTCTGGTCACAGCCACCATGGTGCACCCTTTTGAAGGAGGCTTCACTGACGGGTTTCCCACCAGTGGCAGGATGTCCTGGGGAGAGCTGCAACCCCTCTGTGGGCACATCCTGGTGGCTACGAGTCCCTGTGTCCCTACAGATGGCCCTGACGAACCGGCCATCAGCGTGGAGCCATTCTCCCCTGAGCCAGGGGGCTTCTCAGTGGGTGAGCGGGAGGACGTGGTGCTGAGCTGCCTGGCCCCCTCCAACCCCCCCAGCCGCTACATCTGGCTCCACAATGGGTCCCAGGTCCACACGGGCCAGACCTACATCATGGCTGCCATCACCCGTGCCCAGGCGGGCACCTACACCTGCCTGGCCGAGAACACCCACCTGCAGACCCGTACACAGGCCACCATCCTCCTCACCATCTACTGTAAGTAGCCATGGGGCGAGGGAAGGTGGCTTGCTGAGCCTCCTCCCAGGGCAAGATGGACCACAGTGGCTCCCTGGTGAGGACATGGGTGAGGGGGTGGAAATTTGGAGGGGGTGGAGTGGGGGTGGAACCCTCACCTGGTGCTGATGGTCTCCTGCAGATCCACCAGCTGGCAGCCCCATGTGCTCTGCCCTGGCCACTGATGACCTGCAGGCGGTGGCCCTGCGGTGCCGCTGGCCTGGGGGCTTTCCCCCTGCTCGCCTGCACTGGGTGGGCCCCAGGCCCCCCTGGGAGGAGGATGATGAAGAGGGGAGAATGGGGATGAGTTTTTCCATGGCCACCAGAATCCAGCCTGGGGTGGCCACCAGGAATGGCAGCTCCTTCTCCTGCCTGGCCTCACATCCTGTGCTGCC